TCCTCCCTCTACCCTCTTCTCTCGTGTCCTGCTGCTAGGCTGAGTGCCTCCCACCCTGTGCTTCTGCATCCCGATCTCCATTTTTGTGGTCTTGGTGTAGAAGTTTGCTTTGGTTTTTTTTTCTTTGCATTTGTTCTGCCTGATGTTTCACACCTTTGTGGTATAGGTTTTGTAAGAATGCAATATGTCAAGGAACTTCGTGGCCGAATGTGCTCTCCATGTCTCCAGGTTCCTCGCTTTAGAAACGTGGGGCAGGGATCGCTCTGCAGGGAAAGAGAGGGTCAGGAAAAAATGTGCTTCAGTTGGAAGAAATGAAGTATTTTTCTCACAAGACTGACCACTTGGGATGGTCTGCCCGTACAGGTGGCCACTCAGGTTCTGAGTTGGGATGTGAGGAAGCGGGATCTAGGCAGGAAACGCTTGGCAACCTGAGCCCTTTCTGCGCTGACCGTATTGTTAGAAGTCTTCCTTTGCAAAGGTTGGGTGACACTCTGAACCGACTGCAGTTCAAATAATCCCATGCAGAGAATCGTGGGCCACTCTCCCCTCTTTGCAGGGCTTGCTCTTTGTTGGGCAAGGGTTAAAGTACTTCTCAGCAGGCAGAGGCTCTCCTCAATAAGACCACTCTTTCTCCCTTCTTCTCCGGCATTGGCTACAACACCAAGCTATTGTTCTTATTGTTCAATGAGATATTTCTGTGCTCTGCTCCTGATAAGATTTTCCTCTCATTTCTCTGGCAGGTGACCTCTGAAGGAACCTTGAGAAGAACACTTCCCTTTGTCTTAGGTCAAGAATGAAATTACACGGCACTCACAACAAATAAGTTGGAGAAATTATATTTCAAGCTCCAAAGCTGTGTATTCAAGGAGGAAAGGGAGGATTGTGCTGTAAACAGTAGAGCAATACAAAGACTGAAAAGAGGAAATCAGGAGAACATATCCGTGACCTTCTGGCATAATATTAGAATCATAAATGTTAAAGAATGGAAAATCTCAATTCCTTGTCAAAATCAC